CCCAGGACCCACATGGTGGAATGGAAAGCTGACTTCCTCTGACTGCTATATGCATACCATGGTATACTTGTGCATGCAATGGGTGGGTGGATAGGTAGGTAGGTAGGTAGGTAGATAGATAGATAGGTAGGTAGGTAGGTAGACAGATGGTAGACAGACGGACAGACAGATAGATAGATAGATAGTCCCTATGAAGTTTGGAGGGGAAAGTGGTGTAGACAGAGATGTCAGAAGAATTGGAGAGGAGGTGATAACACATCTTTCTCCCTACTGTTACTTTCTGGGTCAGTGTGTAGGAAATGGAGAAGGTATTATGTCTCCACTTTACTGATAGCAAACCAAAGGCTCAGATAGCTGGAAACATTCTCCTAACATTCAAGAACTAAAGTGTTGAAGAAGAACTTGGATTCCAGATGGTTAGATTCCAAAGCATTGGCTCTAACCACTGTGCCATGAACTATATTCTCATTATCCAGTGCTGACTATACATAAGACACTGGAGTTTTGCTATGGCTTAGCAGAAAAGACACAGTTCTTGATTTCACAAAGCCTCTTTTTAACCACATACTAGAGCACAGACAGCCATGTCTATGTATACCATTGGTATAACTTATGGCATCTTCTCCCAAGACTTTGACAAGCAGAGTGCCTTTGTTTCACCCATTCCCAGTGTTCTTCTCTCTCAACCCTCCTGCCCTGCATCAGTCCCTCTATTTCTCCATTGCTAAGGTCTTCTACAATGAAGTTTCTGGGACTTGAACTTGACGGCAGTCATACGAGCAATCCAACCTTTCGTGCATTATGCCGTAATTACCCAGCTAGTGAACCAGCCACTTTCTTTTCTGTTTCATTTTTAAATTTAGCAGGTTCCTCTCGCCTGTTTCTCTCTCTTTTCAGGGCCATTGAGCAAGAGAGCCAAGGGGTCAAGGGAAGAGAAGATTTCAAGCTTGTAGGTCCAGAAAGGCAAATCATAAGTCAGCTGAAGCCGTAAGGCAGGAGAAAACCTGGGGAGGGAGTGTAACTCTGCTGCTTCCGTGACCTTGGGAGGCCAGTGATGATGTATCTAGTGGACACTGTGTGTTGAGGTGAAACAGAAGGCGAAAAGCAAACATAGCATTGGCTGCAGATCTTGCCAAGAGCAGAGCGGCTGCCAAGACAACTTCAGCCTTGACTCATACATCCAAGATCTCGGCGGAAGAATAGCCTACCGTGATGATAATCCTCTGCTGACATTGGCCCAATTGTAGCTGCTGGTGGTGGTGGTGGTGGTGGTGGTGGTGGTGGTGGTGGTGGTGGTGGTGGTGGTGTGTGTGTGTGTGTGTGTGTGTGTGTGTGTGTGTGTGCTTGCAGGGGGAAGGGTGGCTTTTTCTGGTGAAGAGAACCTTTCCTTCAAAGTCGGATTAATAATGAATTTTAAAGCACTTAAACCCCAAGGGAAACGCAAGCTTACTTTGTGATAAACTAGACTCTTTTGCAAACCTAACAACATCCCTTGCCTACAGGAGTCTGCATCCTACTTCATTTTAGGGAATTTGTGCTTGTCACTGCCAGACAGTCTCAAGATAGCAATTCTCAGTCAAAATCTCCCTAGGACCCTGAGAGGCTAGGAGACCAGATGATCAGCTCTAGATACACTCTCCCTCCCTTCCCATCAGTACCACACTGTCTAAACTCTGAAGCCGCCTAGCCATTTTGCCAACCAGTTACTGTTTCTTCTGGCAAAATCCAGGTTAGGAAAATAAATTGGTTTTTGTTTCTGATTCTTTCTAGGCATAGCTCCTAAAATACCCAGCCATAAGTGAACAGTAATCTTCAATTTCACTTCTCAGAGGTGGCTTCCAATCCATCTTCCCAACCTGCATCTGAGGCAGCTGCTCCTGAGTCCCTCGGTAATCCGCATACATCCATTGATTGACTCCTGCAATTCATCATTCCCGAGATCTCTGCTCTGGACCACTAGGGGGCAATGCTGGATCAGTCAAAACTCCAGATGCTCCACTCCATCTTACCCCTACCTTGCCTTATCATTTTGGGATGCAGCCTCTTGTTGGAAGCCAAAAACAGGACCCACCCTCAGAGCACCCCTCAGCTGATGGCATGACCAGGTTTCTTGCAATGCCTTTCTCATACCGGGGATCATAGGCATAAAAGGCAGTTCACTGGCAAACAGGTCCAGTCCTGTGGGTGACCTTCCCCCTGAGAAAGAGAGAGCTTGCCTAATCATGTCAATAACCAGGAGCAATCTGTGTCTTTGCAGCCATGCTTGTCTCCACCCATTCAGGTGTAAGCTCTTGGGAGTGACATGTTTAAATTCCTGGGACTAGTGTAGTATTTATCAGCAAATACTCGTTGGATGGATGGGTGAGCACAAATGTATAAACTGAAATTTACAAGTTCCAGATTTGTTACCTTTTCCAGCTGTCTGCACACCCAATGCTCAGTTGCTGAGCATACATTTTTGAAGATGGCAGGGGATGCCCAGACTGTTAGACTAAACCAGTGGCTGACGTTGTACAAATGTCATTTCAAGCATAAGTGCAGTCCAGATCTCTTCTTTTCAGGAGCTCTTTCATATCATTGCCCCCAAAGTGCTTGGGGTGCTAGATGGGAAATTAACAGAAACAGACATTAATTGCCAAATGTACACAACGCTGCAGCCTCTTTATGTTGGATACGTAGCACCCATCACATTCCTAAGAAATTAGTGGGAACTCCATGGCTCCCAGTGGGTCCCCATCATACTCAGTGTGCTCTACTGTGCTCTCCTTCTGGTGCCTGAGGTCTCGGGAGACACCCCTCCAGGCTGCACTCCCCCTCTGCTTTTACTGTAACGGATCCTGTGACATCAGGGACCCAGCCTGGTCTACTCACTCAGAGCACCACTGAATGCTCAAGGAGAGAAAGCGGTGTATGTTTTGACACCCAAAACCCCTGGTAACTGGGATACGTTATAAAAGGAGTCCCCACCCTCTCTTGGCTCCCTTTAACAGAACTGTTCCATGAATACCACAGACACTGTTGGGCTTCTGTGGTTGGAAGAAAGACTCTCAAATGGGATTTAGAGCACTCTCTTGTTGAGAGTGGGACTCTCAGCATGAGTCTCTCCCAGTCATCTGGGCTGACTTCTCATAGCAGCAACCAGTTCAGTGCCTCCAAATAAAAAATTGTGGGCACTGTGACATCCCCATGTGTCTAGAACAGAAGATGTCATTTCTTCTCAGTGTATGACTAACTCTTCCTGTCCTGAAATGATTGACAGGAGGAAAAAAATATTTCTTTGGAGGGAATCTTGGGCTTGCCCCTCTGTTATCTCAGGCAGGGCTTACCTTCACAGCCCTGACAGGGCAAACATGGGCTTCACCTGTGTTATTAGATCCAGGAGCACCGGGGAGCACCAGGATCCCAACTAAATTCACAATAAACAAGTCCCTCCTTCTAATTAAAAGTCACCATTTAAGTTGTCTTGGTGAAGCACTGTCTTGGTATATCTACTGTAGTGCTATGATCACTTCATGATCCCCAAAACAACCAACAAACGCTTTTTCAATGTAAATAAACTCATTCTCAGTAAGAGAAGAGAGTACTCTAAATGAAAGAGTAAATACTCTTTAGTCCAACCACAGAAACCCAGCAGTGTCTACAGTCTCCAAGGAACAGTTCTGTCAAAGGGAGCCAAGAAAGGACTTGGCTTTTATGACATCATAGGCCAATCATAAAAGCTTCTAACTTACACCTACCCTGAGAGTCTACACCTAGGTCCTCAGAGTACACACCCCTAGCTTTAACGCTGAAAAACTGTGAAAGTTGCTCTCTGATGCCTTCCCTAGAAGCAAGCAAACTGAAAAACAAATCATACTAAGATAGCATTTTTCTTTTGCTGCCCATGGAAGTTAAGGTGATCGTATATTAAGCATGTCCTACACTATGGATGCCTTGGAGTGGTTAAGGGAAGGGCCTCTAGAGTAACATCTCTGTTCTCTACCAAAAAAAAAAGTACAGAAATTTCCCCAAGAGAAGAGGCTGACAGCCAACAGATGAGACTCAAGAGACATGGGATGTCTCGAGGGTTAGCTCACTGTGTTCAAATACAGCCCTATCTTGGAGCCTTGATTGCCAGGTCTAAACCTCTGGAGGATGAGTTGCTTGAGGCCTCAATACTGAGTCTGAGCAGAGGTAGTATATGAGCCATATTTGGGAACTGGCTGGAAATGAAGTCTACATTAGCCAGAGCAGAGAAGTGACTGAAGTGCGTCTGTGTCTTAGCCGATTAAAGTCTTGAGATCCAGGCTAAGGTACATGGATTCTGTTCTAAGGAAGATGGGCAGAAATCAGAAGCCCATAGAAGAAATGTACCTAAAAAGTGTTCAGATCGCTGTCAACGTGGAGATTAATCTGGGGACAGAAGGAGCAAAACCTGAGGTGGACAGTGCAGGTTCAAGTTTAAGAAAGAGTCTAAAAGTGGGTGAGTGGGGCATGCGGGATGAAGAGGAGGGAAAGGCAAGCTCTTCCTGTCATGGTATTTGTGTGCAGAAGGAATCTCTAGGTCTTGTGCCCTAAGGTCTTATCATTCAAAATCCATTCTCATTCATTTTTAGTGCATTAGATTTAAGGTTCTAGCTCTTCCAGGACTATTTTTTCATTTCTGTAATCCGAAGGATTAGTCTCCAAAGGCAGAATTCTAGGTACCAATACAGAAGATTTGGGAGGTCTTCTTGGAAGCCTCAGTCATTACTCTGTGGATTAATTATTATTTATAAAGCCCATTGCATAAATATTCAACCAACTACAACTAGTGTTCATAACTAATTCATAATGTTTGAATATTAAATCCATGTGGAACATCCTTCTCATCTATAAATTCTGTTTTCTTCTGTCTTTTGGCACTGGGATAAGGGAACTCAGATCCAGGAAGAACCTGCCACTATCCTTCTGTTCTCTGTAAGTCACAGCATCATCTCATCTAATGAGGGCATTCCCCCTCACTAGGGCAGCCCTCTCTAGGAATTTCGAATGGACCACTCAGGGCCACCATGCAGCACACGTGCGTCTTCCCCAACCAGCTCCACTGTGCCGAACATCATCAGCACCATTTGGCCAAGTCTCTAGAAGGACCCAGACCCTCACGGTTATCCTTCCCACTCTGGCACAGTCACATCACAGCCTTACCATCTACAACTCTCTCCCGTGATAACTCTAAAACCAGACAACACCCTTGGGTGAGTGTTTCCTTATGTCTGTCCATCATCCTGTCGTCCCCTTCAAGTTGTTCGTGAGAATGTTTTTCAAAAAGACGTGTGGCGGTGGAAGAGAAAGGAGAGATGAGGTAAGGGGATAGCAGAGGTAGGAGGAAAGACTAAGAAAAGCAACAACAAAAAAGTTCCTGGCCCCAACTTCCAAAAGAAGATCTGCTCTAAAGATAGCCTGGTATTTATCCTAAATTTAAATGTCCTGGCTCTGCAGTCTTTCATTGTGTGCATAATGAAAAAGAAGTCATCACGCAAAGACTCCGCTGTCCTCACAGTGGGAACAGTAGGCAAGCTGATTCTGCTCCAAGAATAGAATCATGACAATGCTAAGTCAGGAACTACAGAGCTTTAACAAACAGAGACTTCTTGACGGGAGAGTAGCTACAAAGGAAGGTGGGAAGAGAGCCTCTCTGACGCTGGATGGAACATGAGCTGTCAGGGAAAGTTCCAGATTGGTCTCCTCCACAGTGAGCCTCATGACCAGTAGTGTGGGCAGGGACAACACCCTGCCTGGATAGACACAGACTCAAGGAACATCCTCTCCTCCGTCCTACCCAATGCTGTATATAGTCACTGCTACCCTGCCTCTTTCACATGCTTCAAGTTAAAGGCCAGCAACAGGGCTTAAACTCCACGATGGTAGAAATGTTGGGTGGCTTTGCCCCCATTGTATCCACAGCATTCAGAAGAAAGCATATATACAGTTGTCTCTCAAAAAAAAAATTGCTGAATAAGGTGGTTGATTGATGGGCTCATTGCAAATGAACAAACCGCTTCCTCGCTGGGTGGTTTCCGAAGAGCGACTTTCAGAACCAGAAATTTCCAGTAGAGCAACTAGAGCTGGATACATTTAGAAAACTGGCTGTTGCTACCTCCACTCAGCCTTCTGTGCACCTTAGATTCCTGAAATTTGGGAACAAGGACCCAAGAGATCATGACCCACCATGTGTCTTTCAAAAAAAGATTATCTTCCTAGTTGTTTTCTTTCAGAGAATAAGCCTCCCGGGACTGATAAGCAAATGCACCATATGCTGAGAACACAAGCCCAGGCTAGTGAAGGGGGACCCAGGCCCCCTCTAAAGGAGCCTTTTGGATTGCTGCCTCTGAAAAGCCGGAGTGTGCTTTTCAATAGCACAGGCACCAACCACCCCCAAGGACCTCTTTCTTTTATTGCTGCTGCGATGAGGCAGCCACATGGCAGTTGTAGATAAGGTGACCCAAGTGGATTGTGCATGCAAAGTAGGCTACGTGGTACAGCTCGGAGAACTGCAAAGCCTCCTGTCCTGGCTTTCCCCTGGTCAATGGGCGTGTGTATTCCCAACACTTCTCATTTTCCATTTCCTGTTCTTTACACCAGACGTCTCCTGCAGAACCCAAATCACAGAGTCTCCAAACATGGCTGTCATGACTGAGGTGGAGGCAGCCCCGGTGTCAGTATAAAAATGTTAATGGGAGTCACAGTTCTTGTATCTGCAAAGAGCTAGCTAAAAGCTCACCTATTTCTATGATGTCTGGAAGACACTACGGAATCAGAGCAGGGCCATCTCCAATACCTTACCTATTGAGTATGTGAAGCCAAGGGGCAAGGCCATTTCCTGATGTGCACTAAAGGCACTGTGGTGTTTGTTGGATATCATTATGAACAAAAGACTATAAGCCCCAAGCAGGTACAATACACACAATCCGGAGAGAGCGTCTACCAATGAGAAACAGCATTTAGTGTCATCTCGAACTTGCCTCATTTATTTATCATTCATTCATTCAAAACTAAGAAGCCCTAGGGCCTTACAAATCAATACACTGAATGCTGTGGAAACACAAATTAAAAACAAGTACTTCTCAAATAGAAAATACACTCAGCAGGTATCAGTGCCTCGCTTTTATCTTTTTAAAACCATGAGCGGTGAAAATTAAATTCTACTGAATTACTTGAATTTTCCACCTGAAAATAAAAGCACAGTCCCTGATTCCCAGAAGGACAAACAAATTACACACATACAAAATCAAGGCCAGCAATTAACATCTTAATTACAAATCCTTGATATCCTACCAACAGTTCCAAAAGCCTGAAAAATAGTAAATATTCATATACACAGATATAGTAAAGTAGATATATTAAAGATGATATATATATGATATATATGATATCTTGATATATGATATCATATATCATATGATATATGATAGCTTGATGAATGGATCAGTGGATGGATAGATGGATGGATGGATGGATGGATGGATGGATGGATGGGTGGATGGGTGGATAGATGGATGGGTGGATGGATGGATGGATGGATGGATGGATGGATGGATGGATGGATGGACAGATGGACGGATGGGTGGATGGGTGGATGGGTGGATGGATGGATGGATGGATGGATGGATGGATGGATGGATGGATGGATGGATGGATGGACGGATGGACGGATGGGTGGATGGGTGGATGGGTGGATGGGTGGATGGGTGGGTGGATGGGTGGATGGGTGGATGGATGGACAGATAAAAAGTAGGTATAGTAAAGTGGCTGAGTTCAGACTTGGAAGCCAGATTTCTTCAAGTATGAATCTTAGGTCTTCTCTGATTAACTCACTAGTCACATGACTTTGGGCAAGTTACTTTGTGCTTTTCTTTTTTCATCAAAACTTTCATGACAGAATTATTGCTAAAATTAAGTGAACTATCTAGTGTCGGTATATTTAGAGCAAGGCCTGGTACACAGGAAACACTGCTATCAACTACCTGTGTTCTTGATGGTGTTATCATGATGATAATTACCACATTTTCCTATAATTGACTGGGATGATCCTTTAGGAAGTTGTTTACAGGAACTATGCCAAGCTCTGACCTAGAAATATGGGTCAGTCAGTAAAAATGCCTTTCCTGTACACACAAAGACCTGAGTTCATATCCCCCAAACCCGTGTAAAAAAGTTGACCATAGTGGTGTACACCTGTAATCCTAGCGCCAAGGGGACAGGGATAGGAAGGTCACTGGAGCTCCCTGGCCAGCTGAATCACTGAGTGAGTTCCAAGTTTAGCTCAAGACCCTGTTTGGTAAAATAAGGTAGAAGGCAAGAGAGGAAGACTTCCACCACCAACCTCTAGTCCATATGTACCCACATGCACACACAAGTATACACACATACCTATACTACATACACACCACACAGACAGAAGTTGGTCAGTCTCTTGGAAACATAAGCATTCTTCTATATTAACATTCCCTCTAGTAAGAACTAAATATCAATGGGAATTTAGAGAAATGCAACTGAAGAGACCTTCAAAGTCTTTTTCAAAGGATGTTGCAAAGGATGCTGATAAATTATTAAGGGCCTACTACATAGGAAAAAGCAAATAAGAAGGTAATTTTTTGTTTGACCCTCACAAAACAAGCAAGCATGGACTTTGTGA